TGAATTGTGCTGCTATAAACATTTGAGTGCAAGTGTCTTTTTTATAAAATATCTTTTTTTTCCTTTGGGTAAATACCCAGTAGTGGGATCGCTTGATCCAATGGTAGGTCTACTTTCAGTTCTTTGAGTTATCTCCATATTACTTTCCCTATGTTCATACTAGTTCGCAGTCCCACCAACAGGGCATAAGTGTTCCTTTCTCTCCACATCCACGCCAGCATCTGTTGTTTTGGGACTTTTTGATAAAAGCCATTGTCACTGGAGTTTTGTGGTTTTGATTTGCGTTTCCTTGACAATTAGAGATGTGGAGCATTTTTTCATATGCTTACTGGCCATTAGTCTATCTTCTTTTGCAAGCTTCTGTTCATGTTTTTTAATGGGTTTTTTTGGTGTTTTCTTGCTGATTTACTTGAGTCTTTGTAGATTCCAGCCCTTTTAAATTCCCAAAGGACATAAGATCTTTTGCTTCTTTTAAAATTAGAGGACCTTGCAACATGTTTAGTCTTGGTACTCAAGGAGTGGTTATACAGTTTTCTAATACATACCATAATGTCAACATCAAAAGAGTTGCATTCCTATTTTGACTACTTAAATATTCCATACCTCTTTGTCTCTGAACTAATCATGGTGTTATAGAAATTACATAAAATTAAAGTGAGAAGACCTGATCACCTCATTATTTCCTACTAAAATTTGTCATGGAACGTTGACTTAGACATCTCTTTTTCTCCAGACCCTATTTTCTACCTCTGAAAAAATGGATGGAGTTAGATGATACAGATTCTAACATTTAATACTCCAATGCATTCATTTCAACTCTGTGTTTCAACTTTGCCTTATTTGTTCCTATAGATATTTGTTTAAATGAAAAAGTGATTTAAGGGTTGAGAATAAAGGCATAATACACTTACTATGTCTTTTGGTATTTAGGGACATACACATTAGTGAGGCATTCTGACCTGTCAAGCATATACTATCATAGATTGCTTTCAATTCTGTAAGAGTTCATTGAGTTCCTTTCATTAAGAACTGAAATAACTATATCTAGAAAACCCCAAAGACTCATCTAAGAGACTCCTAGAGCTGATAAATGAATTCAGCAAAGTCTCAGGCTACAAAATCAATACACACAAACAGAAGATCAAATCAAAAACGCAATTCCTTTTACAATAGCCTCAAAGAAAATTAAATATCTAGGAATATATTTAATGAAAGATGTAAGAGACTTATACAGGGAGAACTACGAAACACTAAAAAAAGAAATTATAGAAGATGTACACAGATGGAAAAACCTACCTTGCTCATGGATTGGTAGAATCAATATCGTTAAAATGTCCATACTACCTAAAGTGATCTACAGAATTAATGCAATCCCTATCAAAATCCTATTATCATTCTTCACAGATCTGGAAAAATAATTCTATGCTTTGTATGGAACCAGAAAAGACCTCGTATAGCCAAAGCAATCTTAAGTAAAAAGAACAAACTGGGAGGTATCAGTTTACCAGACTTTAAGCTGTACTACCAGGCTGTAGTGACTAAAACAGCTTGGTACTAGCACAAAAATAGAGACATTGACCTCTGGAACAGGACTGAAAATCCAGAGATGAAACCATCTGCATATGGTAATCTAATCTTTGACAAAGCTGACAAAAACATACACTGGGGGAAAGAATCTCTTTTCAATAAATGGTGCTGGGAAAACTGGATAGCTACATGCAGAAGACTGAAACTAGACCCCCACCTCTCACCTCTCACAAAAATCAATTCAAGATGGATAACAGACTTAAACCTAAGGCATGAAACCTTAAGAATTCTAAATGAAGATGTTGGGAAGACCCTTTCAGACATCGGCCTAGGTAAGGAATTCTTGAAGGAGAACCCCAAAGCAATCGCCGCAGCAACAAAAATAAATAAGTGAGATCTAATCAAATTAAAAAGCTGCTGCACTGCCAAGGAAACTATCATTAGAGTGAATAGACAGCCCACAGAATGGGAAAAAATATTTTCTCTCTACACATCTGATAAAGGGCTGATAACCAGAATCTATCTAGAACTCAAAAAAATCAACAAGAAAAAATCAAACAACCCCATCAACAAATGGGCAAGGGAAATGAACAGAAACTTTTCAAAAGAAGACAGGATAATGGCCAGCAAACATATAAAAAAATGCTCAACATCTCTAATCATTAGAGAAATGCAAATCAAAACCACAATGAGGTATCACCTAACCCCGGTGAGATTGGCCTCTATCAAAAAAACACAAAACAACAAATGTTGGCAAGGATGTGGAGAGACAGGAACACTTTTACACTGCTGGTGGGACTCCAAATTAGTGCAACCTCTGTGCAAAAGAATTTGGAGATACCTCAGAGAGCTAAAAATAGAAATACCATTCGATCCAGCAATAGCACTATTAGGCATCTACCCAAAAGAGCACAAAACATTCTACGATAAAGACATCTGCACCCGAATGTTTATGGCAGCACAATTCACTATTGCAAGAATGTGGAAACAACCCAAGTGCCCGTCAATCCATGAGTGGATTATCAAAATTTGCTATATGTTTACAATGGAATATTACTCAATCATAAGAAACGACAGTGATCTAGCACCTCTTATACTTTCCTGGATTAAACTTAAGCCCATTATCCAAAGTGGGGCACCACAAGAGCAACAGAACGGGATCCATTTGTACTCACCATCAAATTGGTATTAACTAATCAACACATAAATGCACATATAAGAATAACATCTATTGGATGTTGGGCAGGGCAGGGCAGAGGGGGAGGAGGGGACGGGTATTTGTATACACAAGGAGTGCAATGCGCACTACCTGAAGGATGGACATATTTGAAACACAGACTTGGGGGGGAGGGACCAAGGGCAACATACGTAACCTAAACATCTGTACCCCCATAATATGCTGAAATAAAAGAAAAAAAAAGAACTGAAATAAAATATGTACTGTGAGAGGCACTTTATTAATAAAGATATTGCATTGATCTTTAAGATTCTTATACTGTGAGAATAATAATATGTGTGTGTATGTGTTTGTGTTTTTCTTTCATAAAGTCTGTTGGAATGGGTAAATTATCACAGTTTTCAGCTACCATATAGCTTTCAGTTTCAACATTGTCATCAAACACTTTTATACTTAGAAGAATAGCCATAATACTTTAAGCAATTTTGTCTTAATGCCAAATTGTTAGTGTTGAAATAAGCCCTTTGGGGAGCAAATAAAAAGTTTTTTGGGACAGATTTTTTGCAAAAAGTAACAGTTTCCAGCATCAGTCTAGCAGGTCCAGTGTACGCTGTGTAAGTGGATTGCAACAGCACAGGGTTTTGTAATTCCATTTTAACTTAGTTCGAGTTCTTCTCTAAGGAATTCCCTTATTCTCTGCATTAAGCAATAGGTAAAAAATCCTGAAAATATAAAACTTAATTTGACTTCTACCAACTAAATGCAAAGGGTGACAGGGAAAAAGGAGACAGTAATAGCATGGTGTCAAAGAGCAATAGTCTAAGGGTTGGAGACAAGGATTTTCATTATGATTCTACTGCTATTTGCCTAGGCTACCCTTAGGATAGCCACCTGGTTTCTCAGAGCCTCAGCGTGCTTTACTAGAAAATGTGACAATATTCAGTGTCCTTTCCTGATCCATCATTCTGTGAAATGATGCTTCCAGGTGAAGGAGTTAAATAGGTCACATTGTTCCTGTAGTCATGGCTCTCTAAAAGCTCACTTTCTGTGAAGGTGGCTTTCTTCCTCTTCCTCTAACACACTAAGGTTAAGTTGGAACTCTTTAAACCTTGTCACTCTTCCCAAGGCACTTCTTGGAAATATTGCCTGCCACAAAGTCACCTTTGTTTGCACTAGTTACTATAGCTCCATAGTCTTCCAGCTCGGAATGAGAGCCATGGAAGGAACTGGGAGAACATCTATGGCAACTCCCCCTCATGTTACAGATCATGAAATTGACCCTGAGAGGTTTGGTGACTTTCCACTTGGTCCTAAGGAGAGGAATCAGATTCCTTATATAGGGTTTTTGATTCTGTCATTGGTATAGTTTCAGTACAGGGGGCATCAGTGTTTTTAATGGATTTCATAAAGAAATAACGGGGCAGTTTCCTTATCTTGCCCTTTTCTTTAAAAAGTAGTAACCCAATAATTACAAATTAGGCTGTTATAATTTTTGGAAACATGTTACTAACAGGTTGTTGCAAATATATCGAGAGTTGGGGAAGCCATATTGAGCAGGTTTTGGAGGCAAGAAGTCAAATTTGTGTTTGTCATTCAGACACTTATTTTTTTAATGTAGTAAATGTCATTGTCTTCTGAAGTGTCCAACTCTTGAAGAAAAGGGTTGTTTCCAATACCTCTAGATTTTTCTCTCAATTTTTCTGTTTTGCCTCATCAATGCAACTCACTTAGGAGCAGAAGAGAAGTTAATGTTCAACCTGATGAGAACTTTTTGGAACAGCTTTAATAAAATTTGCTTAATAAATTGTGTTACTGACTGTTACAACATTACCAAAGGATCACTCTAAAGCTTGCCAATGGTTTGCCTTAAAATAAACAGTTAAATCTTCAGTATTACACACTGATTCTCTTTGTAAAAGGTTAAAAGAGGTTGCTATATAACTCTGCTGAGAACACCTATGCAAGTATGTGACAAGGTTAGAAAGGCTTTCGTGAATTAGGTACTTGAGCTTGGTCTTTTATTCTGGCTATCTAAAGGTTATAAACCTCTAAAGGTTATAAACTCCAAGTCCCTGTATTTACTACAAAGAAATAACACTTTGTGTATGCGAATACCCGTCCCCTCGTCCCTCCTCCCCCTGGATGGACATATTTGAAACTCGGACTTAGGGGGGGAGGGGGGAGACAAGGGCAACATACGTAACCTAAGCATCTGTACCCCCATAATATGCTGAAATAAAAAAAAAATGTAGGGAAAAAAAAAAGAAATAACACTAACATGTTTTCTTTTTCATAGGAAATTGTCCTTGAAGAAGGTACACTTGCTTTTAAAAATTGGGTTAAAACAGGCACAGAAGTTTACAGACAGTTTTGGATCTATGATGTGCAAAATCCACAGGAAGTGATGGTGAATAGCAGCAACATTAAAGTTAAGCAAAGAGGTCCTTACACGTACAGGTGAGTCCCACAGATAAGTGGCAGATTGAACATAATCGACTTTGAATATATGTATTTCTGAGAAGGCTTCCACTGGATGAATGCCATTGCAATGAAATGCATTTCTTATTTTCTTGCCAGTCATATACCTTGAAATATATTTCCTACCTGTGTAGAGTCTTAATCTAAGGATTTAATGATTAGAAGACATTTATTTTTAATAGATATATACATTCCTCAAATATTTATTAGACAGTAGATAGAAAACAAATACAGATTTTTAATAAATTTACCAGCATCAAATAACATCTGTATGTTTATGAAGTTATTATACAAGTGTTTGACACTTGTGGCATATATACTCAATTCTGAAATACGCATGTTGAACATGGAAAAAATTTTCAGTCTTTAACATCTTTAAATTAAATGTATACATTATATTGGTGGTTCTTAAAGTGGGGCTCCTAGACCAGCAGCATCAGCATCATCAGGGAACTTGGTAGACATGAAAACTCTCAGACCCCAACCCAGACCAAATAAATTGGAGACTCCTAAGTTGGGGCTCACTAATGAGTTTTAAAACCCTCTGGGTAATTCCAACACACACTCAATTTTGAAAACCATGGCACTAAACTTATTTTTACATAACTGTGGTATGGATTTATATCCAAACTAATATTCAGATCATATAGATGTGTACGTATATCTAGTAGCGTCATTCCTATATTTTCTCTAGTACTGAGACAGACTATTCACTACCTTTAGTTTACTTTACCTAATAGTTTAACACTTTCTTGAACAGAATCTTAGACTATTAGAACTAGAAGAAATGATTAGCCAGAATCTTTCATTTTGTAAATAAATAATACCTTATACTATTGTATATAAGTTGACTTGTTCATGCTCACACAAATGTAGGAAATGATACCTCTTAGATTTTTGTATGCATTTTCTATTTAAGTTACAGACTATGTCTTTTCTAGTTATTAAAGTAAAAGGGAGATTAAGTTGTTAAAAACACTAATTTAACCAAGGATTATGGATATATTTATGATATTTTTATGGAAACTAGTTAAGTCCTGCTATTTCGTTTGTTTAACAAATGTGTATTTTCCTTCAAGGACAATTCATTACAACTAGTTACATACCATGATTAATTATTATCACAAAATTTTATATTTGTAATGATTTATTATAATTCATAATTTTAGTATCTTATCTCTTTTGGATATTCTATGATTGTATAATTTTCCTTCCCCTCCAAGGCATCAATATGTTTCTAGATTGACAACTCACACCCAAAATATAATCACATAACAGTAGTCATGTGGGAGTAGAGCCTACAACCATAGCATATGATATATAAGCTGCAGAGGGCCTTGGTGTCTATCCTGCCTTAGCAATTTTCCCCGTGTCTCCTGTCTCTTTGCCCATGTCAGAACTTTGTGAAAGAAGACTTGGTTTTCATTGTTACAAGAAAAGTCTTACTTTGGAAAATGTTTTTTTTTCATGGACTTAGAGTTCTTATATTCTTAGCAAAAACCTATGCAAATATTTTGTTTCAAAAGAATGTTATAGGCATATGTACTTACGAAAATCTAGAATTCACATGACCTAATGAGAATCTGAGCATAATTGTTTAAAAAGTAGAATCTGAATGAACAAGTATGAGGAAGAAATGGGTTTTAGAATTTGAAGCCTCATGTTTTCTGGGCTTTTAAAATTTGTTTTGGGGAGGTTATGTTTTCTATTTTAGGGGTATCGTTTGGGATATGAGGGAATATAAACATAAAATTATTTAACCTAGTTCTCCTCTGATAATTGACAACTAATATCTATTTTATTCTTAGAGCCTTTAACCTACCGAAGGGACAAAAAGGGGGTTTGTTAGATATACTTGATTTGCTTGGGGAGGCGATGGAAGGAGGGTGGGAGAAGAGGAGTTGCATTTACAGCTGCATTTTATAAACAATGAACTCCTCTTTATATAACAATTTTAAAGAGATTCCTAACCAACTAGAAATCATCTTGTCCCATGTTGTCACCAAATGGAGTCGTTTTGTTTGTCTGAATGTCTTAAATTGAAAACTGATTAGCTTTTAGAAAACAGTCAATACTTTGATAGCCTTCTACGTGTTGAGCTAAACATGCTTCCACATAGTTAATTATACCCTAAGTCCAGTTGACATTGAGAGTGTAGGAGATGTCCCTCCTCAAACAGGATCTCAGGCTTTATTTGGCCGATGGCTGCTAAAGTGAGTTTGATAAAACTTTGAGAAGATATGACACGTGACAAACCATGAAATCCATTCCTGGATTGAGATCTTACATATATTCCAACCTACACCATCTCTATGAAGACATTGTGATGCCTTCAAAATATTCTCAGATACATGGCTGGGCGCGGTGGCTCATGCCTGTAATCCTAGCACTCTGGGAGGCCGAGGCGGGTGGATCGCTCAAAGTCAGGAGTTTGAGACCAGCCTGAGCAAGAGTGAGACCCCCGTCTCTACTAAAAATAGAAAGAAATTATCTGGACAGCTAAAAATATATATACAGAAAAAATTAGCCAGGCATGGTGCCTCATGCCTGTAGTCCCAGCTGCTCAGGAGGCTGAGGCAGGAGGATCGCTTGAGCCCAGGAGTTTGAGGTTGCTGCGAGCTAGGCTGATGCCACGGCACTCACTCTAGCCAGGGCAACAGAGTGAGACTCTGTCTCAAAAAAAAAAAAAAAAAAAAATTCTCAGATACAAATCTCAGGTATAAATCATTTTTAAGTTACTTTGCTTTGGAAAGAATACAAAGAAAGCAATCTTGGGAAAACTCTAGGAAAAATTACTTTTCTTGACATTACTAACCAACACTTTCCCAAACTTGTATACAGCGTAGTTTTTAAACAACAACAGAATTAGTAATTATGTTCTTTTTAAAAGTACAATCTAAAGATAGGGCTTAGTTTTAAGGATTTTCTCTTAGTGAGCGCCATCTACTGGTTCAATGTTGTAAGGATACTTTAGGTAAGCTCTAGAATTTGGGTCACAATTATTTTGCTATTATTTTAATATATACACATATTCCTGAAAATTAAAGTACTTCAATTTTAAATGTTAACAATATGTACTCCAATTTTTAAATAGTTATTTGAGATAAAAGACATTGCTTGTAATTCATTATCCTGGGTGCTGTTTCAGATTTTTGTATTCTTTGTATGTCTACAGTACTCCAATGAGAATAAATGATGATATTTTAATGTAATTATATTAAAATACATTTCTACCTAATTTTGAATACCCTTTTAAAAGAATAAGCCACTAATGCATTTATTTATGAAAAATATTTATTGAGAACTCATTATGTCCAAGGCTCTGTCCATAGAGATACAAAACACTCATAATCCCCACCTAGAGTAATTTACATTTTTACTATAGTTCAATAAAATGTGTTTCTTTAAATTTCAGTCCCTTTTTTTAGTCTTTACCTTAGTTAGCTATTCACCTTGCATAACTGACGTTCAAATATATGCTAGCACAATGATAATGTATACCTTATTACTTCTAAGTGCATATCTTGTACTTGCAAGATATTTTTCCCCATAATAATCACCACTTACCACATTACTAAAATGTAGTTGGTACTTTGCAGCATGGAGATACTAGAGCCAGAAGCTTAGAACTAATATGTATTCAATATGTGGGGAGAGAGCGGGGAGGGAAGGGTTGGTCCGTAGCCCTTAAAAATAAAATTATATTCTAATTCTCATTAAAGTACTGATAAAGATAGAAGAGCCAGCACTGGATAGGCTGTGTACTTTGAGGGTTTTTTCTCATATACGAAAATGTGCTCTTAATATTGCCCTGCTTAAGCCTCTCCACTCTTTCCTCCTTACCCTCAGGATCAAGTCTTTCATTTGATTATGGGATATGACCTTTTCATGTTTGAGATCTATATTTTACGCAACTCTCCTTCTCACTCAGCGATTCAACCACGTTCAAACAGCTGCATTTCCTAAAATATACAATGTTCTTCTTATCTTACACATGACACTGTCCGCCCTACTTTACCTAATTAACTTCTCTTTGTTATTTAGACCACTTAAGTGGAATGGCTACAAATTGTGTCTTGGCTCTCATCTCCACCATGATCACTCCAAACCTGGATTTGTATCCATTCTGTGCTTTCCCATGGATTCTGTGTAAACTCCCATTTTAACACATATCACTTCTCTGCTATTTTAATTTTCTCTCTGCAAGTTTAAGACCACTTTTGGTTAGTCTGCTAAAGACCCAGCAGTGCCTTAGTTAACCCCATTGTTTAGCATAATATCTGGCATAGTCCATGTGTTCAAATATTTGTTGAATTAATGAATGGCATTTGAGATCTAATATCTACGTAAGCCAAATTTTTTGACTTTTGTTTACTTCTGTTTTTTCCAGAGTTCGTTATCTAGCCAAGGAAAACATAACCCAGGACCCTGAAGACCACACAGTCTCTTTCGTGCAGCCCAATGGTGCCATCTTTGAACCTTCACTATCAGTTGGAACAGAGAATGACACTTTCACAGTTCTCAATCTGGCTGTAGCCGTGAGTAGACAAACCACAAAGTTACTTATTTTAAAATACTCTAGAATCCACTATAATTAATCTCATCATTATAATTATTCATAGGCTTTATTTGGTCATTTTTATAAAAGTGTTTTCCTATGTCATTATTTTGAAGGAGTTATAGGCATTTGGATAGATGGCAAAATCATAACAGTCAATTCAATTTGATGACCAGTCAAAGTGTATCAATAAAAAAATAGGACTTGGAATGTCTTCTTGTGGTTGGCATTGAGGCAGACGAATATAATCATGTAGGGATTAGACAAATTACACTTTTAGTTTTGGCACGATTTAGTGATAATTTTAAAGATTTGGTTGTAAAATTTTCATTAAATTCAATTTTAGTATTTAATCCATTTATTTGTTAAAATCTGATATTGTATTGGTGTCTTAAACAGTGATTTTGTTTTTGTAGGGTGCAGCCCATATCTATCAAAATGCATTTGTTCAGTCGGTACTCAATTCACTTATCAAAAAGTCAAAATCTTCTATGTTCCAAAACAGAACTTTGAAAGAACTGTTATGGGGCTATAAGGATCCATTTTTGACTTTGGTTCCATACCCTGTTCCTACCACAGTTGGTGTGTTTTATCCTGTAAGTACCAAATATGAATGGCAATATTGTTTTTTAATTAGATAAAAGAATGGCATTGGCAAGGCATAATTTCATGATTTAGTATATTAGCCCTACTGCTAATCTGGAGATATATATCTGATATATATTCTAAATTTTTAAAAAAGTCCCCATCTCATATGGCTTAACCTTTACTAGTTGGAAAACTCATCTGAATTAAACAATTAAAATTTATATATATAATTAAAATTTAAAAACTGAGATATAATCAGGTTTCTACTCTTTTATAAGTATATAATTTGTCTGAAGTTGTAAGCTAGTATGTAAATCTTTGGACACTATTTTTGGTTTTGATTAACCTTCTTGCATAATCAAGTTAAATACCATATTTTTGTGCATATGTTAAATGCATCCATTCTATCATTCCTTCTTCTCTAGACCTTTTACAAATTTGTGTTGGTTTATATTAAAATATTAGCCTAAATTTGCACATCTCAATGAGACTGATCAGTCAATAGGCCTCATTTTAATGGGATTGTAAATAAGAATTCTCAGTAGTCGACAAATGTCATGAAATGGTGGTTTGAAGATTAAGGCAAACGTGAACTTGATGGTTCACTTATTTACAGCTTAATGTTTTGAATCACAAATGGAATAAGTTTGACTATTGAACGGGAATTTTTACTATGATTTCATTTGGCACTATACATAAATATTAGTTATAGTCTCCAGTTCATTGTTATTATTTTACTTTTAGATAATGTTTAGAATTGCAAGGTTATATATCAATATAAATGTAGAAAGCCTTCAGGAATCAGAGATTTGGTAATTATTTTAACTCAGTAGTCATAACTCTTTCCTTGACTAAATTTCAATTTTGTATGCCTCATTTCTATCATTTTTAGTAGCTACTTACAGATCACAATAGTTAGAATAACTTTACAAATCATTGTTATTCTAGGTTTTGTTCAATTTACCCTCACCTCAATATAACAGGAGTCATGATCAAAATGGCCTTATTGGCTTAATTATGGAAAGAGTGCTGGAGTCTGGATCATGTCAACTTCTGATGTTTATTTCAGCACTTAGCACGCACTTCTGGGAACCTTTTATAGTCTATCTTTTAAAACATTTTAAAGGCCAATAATTTAAAAACCTTATTACATATATATTTCAAGTTATATAAAATAATAACTAATAATAACTAGTGTTCGGGAAATGCGAAAGTGAGTTAATTACGTATTTTATAACTTGAAAAATATGACTTGTTTCACAAGCAATTTTTTCTTGAACCTATCTTTTCAGTACAACAACACTGTAGATGGAGTTTATAAAGTTTTCAGTGGAAAAGATAACATAAGCAAAGTTGCCATAATTGACACTTACAAAGGTAAAAGGTAAGCATCTGGGTATAGTGTGTGCGTATCTGTGCGTGTGCTACTAGCATACTCTAAGGCACGAGTGGTATTTGTTTAACAACAGGTAAAGCACAGGAATCAACCTATGGAACAGACTTTCTATATATATCTCAGCCCTAGAGACTCTTGTTCCAAAAGGCATCAAGCCTCTAGTTGTGCCAAGTGGCATGTTCACACCAGTGCACAGCTGCTGACTATCAGCCCCAGTTTAGGGTCTGGTTTACCTTTATGGACAAATCCGAAGGGACTGTTTTCATCCTTGGTGCATATCCAGCATCTCAGTAGACCATGCAATTAGATAACCATGAATGAAAAGGAAGAAAATCAACACATCAACTGACTGTCTAGGAGACAGAAACGTATTTGTTCCTTTACTTTTGTAATGGAGTATATCAAATAACATTGTGTATTCCAGTGACATGACCTGAAAGTGTCTATAAAGGTGGAAGTTTAATGACTCCATGTGATTGTTTTCGTGACTTCTCCCCGCAAGTGGTCTTAAAATAAGGATCTATATTGATAATTCCGTTTTAACATTTATTAATGCAAAAATGAAATTAGGACTTCAAGTAAAGTTCTAAAATTTACATATGAAATGTGGAAATAAAGAATACGCCACCTTTAAATTGGTGAAAGCAAAAGATAGCTTCATAAAGCCATTATTTGCTTTCTTTCCTAGTTCTGCCTGTTGATCTGAAGTATTAATAATTTATATGTGTAAAATAGGAAGAACCCTGAAATTAAAAAAAAAAAATAGGAAGGACCCTAATAAATATCAGGGGAGAAAGCCTTTTCTTTAAAGTTAATAATTGTGCTTTAGAACAGTTATTTCCTGAAAAAGGATAATCAAAACTCAAAGGGATGAAATGTTTTTATTAATATAAATAACCACTGCCTCAAACTGAGGCTTTTTTTTTTTTTGAGTCTTTATCTAACAATTGCATGAAAGAGTTAAATATTAACTAGTGGAGAATTTTTGTTCTAAAGAGTCCACAGTTACTTATTTTTATAGAAAAGTCGAGTGGAGGAAAACAAACAGTTCTAAGTGTTTATTTCAAAGGAAATCACATCAATTTTTTATATTGAGGAACAAGGAGCATTTCAATACTATAGAGGTTTTAAAGGGAGTTACTAAGCACTTCTAATTAGAGTAAGAATTTCACATCGCTATAAAATTACGATAAGATAGGTTTCAATCATCATGGCAAGACTTAGCATGATTAACAGCTTACTCTGTTTAGAACAAGGAACAGCTTTTGTTGACATTGCACTGGATAATGGTAGGAGTGGAAAAAAATTTTTTCCCACCATAAAAAAGTGGCTGAAGTTCAGGGAAACATTTACTATTTTTTTTCCACTTCTAGATATATACAGCTTATTTATATACCAGAGCATAACTAATAAAATTTGTCCTACTTTAATGCCAGCACATGCAAGGTTTTAAAGGGAGAAAATATATATTGGTTGATTATCAACATGTTTTGAATCTGAATTGATCCAAATTTCTGCTGCTTTCTTCCTTCCTTCCCACTTCCTTGTTCTACCTTATACTGAGCTTACATCAACCCACTTAAAACTTTCCTTCTGGTCTCATACTACTGAATGATTCATTTCTCCCCTTGGGGGGAAAAATCACTCTCTCCTAAGTAGAGATCTAAGTTTCTTATAAATGTTTTTAAATTTTTTTTTGTATCCCAAGTTGTTTCTAATTACCTTAACACTTGGCAGTTTTCATTTTATGACCTAGCCATGTAATGGTATCAGACAGTTAATTGCAACAGGAGAAAAGTTTCAAACAAAGCATGAACTGGGTGAATTAGAACATTTCTTAAACTTAGCGCTTGCCACATCTAATCTTATATTAGTAGAAATATTGAATCATAACATAAAAAGTAATGTGAGAAAGGTGTTCTTGAAATCAGAATTTTCTCTTTTTATTCCTAAGGAATCTCTCCTATTGGCCAAGTTATTGTGACATGGTTAATGGTACAGGTAAGGACATTTGTTTTATGGTAATAGTCACGATGAATCTATCTCATCTTCTCTCACAAATTCACTGTCGTACCTATAGTGTTCTGAAAGTTGAGGGTATGTGTTTACCTGTGTTTATAGCTCCACAACATAATTCAGAGTCTATTTTTATATAGGCTCAGTAAATATTTAATGTGTTGGGATTTCTGAAGATTAACCGTAAAGAAGTAGCTTTTATTGCATTACTAGGGAAATGTTTGCTTTGTAAAATCTTTACTTAATGAACTGCCGTCCTGACAACAGAAGTAATGGTTAAAAAAAAAAAAACTCTAAGTAGTTACTATTCAAATCTTTTGTAAATATTTTAGGTATAACAACTTAGAATTGAAGGAATAAAACATTAAGATAATTACAAAAGAGAAAACATACTGATACCAATGCAAAAAGGGTCTGGCCTGGGTCTGGTTACTCGCTGCCTAGAAAGCCAATACTGAGCCAACAAGTATTGCTGAGGAAGAAAGGAATTTGTAATGTACAAAATATCAGGAGAAGGTGAGGGGGAAGCAGCCTCAAATCCATCTCCTGACTAAGGGAGAGTACAGGTCTTTTAATTAGGGGGCTTCAAGCTTTTAGGGCAGGTTAGTGAAGGATTGTGAGTCTTGGCACCAAGAAAGTCCTTGCAGGAGACTTCAGAATCTCGACGCTCTTGTCTTGCAGAAATTCTGTAATTTGGGGGAAACAACTCAAAAAGGTTCAAATGGTTATCATTACAGGGTTCTGGTTATCAAGCCCTACAGGACAGAGGATCTAAAACATGAGAGGAAGGGGATTATAAAAAAAAAATACAGGGATCATTGAAATTTGTTCATAGAGCCGGTTACAATATTTCTAAGTGAGGTTTAAAACCAAGGTAGAATCAGTGAAGTTATAAGACAGAACCATCTATTTTGGATAAAATGGTCAGAATGAGACAGAATCAAAAAAGACTAGATGTTTATTAACCACATAAAATGTATGTAAAAATGAGCATTCTGAATTAGAATCAGGGAAAAAACTGTAAACCTAGATTTAGGGTATGGTTAGATCTGGCGTATTATTCTCCTTGAAGAAAAGGAACATACGCATATGCCTATGATGTTTAAGAATTAAAATTTTAAAAGCAATGGGAATCAAATACCGTGAGAGAATTACAATTAAAAGTGTGCTTTCAACTACTAAGAAACAGTAGCATGAAGTTTACAAAGTTGGTCAGAGAATAACCTATACGGTAAAATAAAAATGAAGAAAAATAAAAATGAAGCAAGAGAATGTTTACTTTTCCAAAGGTGTGATTGAAATCTGTACGCTTATTTAATTCTATCTCTGTCTTGTTAAAAAAAAAAAAAAAAAACAGCAAAAGCACTGCTGGTTTTGCCTTGTAGGGTTTTAAGCTACTGGAGGGTAACTGAAGCAATTTCTTTCTAAGTAAAGCATTGCTGGAAATAAATGGTCAAGTCCTCAGTATTACTAACTCTAGTAGTTGCATAAGCATAAAATACTTAGTCCTTAGACACAGACAGAAATATACTGTGCTGCTCCTAAATAGTAAAGGATTCTTTATGCGGTTAAGGGGAAAAAATCATTAAACAATTTTGTCTAAAGCCAAGTAGATAAGTTTAATAAGTGGGTTAATTAATGCCAATAATATAAATACATGTGCATTGGGCATAAAGGTAAAAATACCTAAAGGGAAAATAGAAGTAAAACAAAATAGGAACAGAGGAGGTTGGACAGGAAGGGGATGTTTCCTGTGAGAGAGTCTTGGTTACAGCACTAGGGAAAAGAGTAATGCAGGGTTCCAACGTGTTTTCATCATGATTTAGAAGTGCAATCTTCACTTTTAATAAGTTCGAAAAGACATAAAATGAAAGTATTGATATACATTTTTTTTTTTTTTTGAGACAGAGTCTCACTTTGTTGCCCTGGCTAGAGTGAGTGCCGTGGTGTCAGCCTAGCTCACAGCAACCTCAAACTCCTGGGCTCAAGCAATCCTTCTGCCTCAGCCTCCCAAATAGCTGGGACTACAGGCATGTGCCACCATGCCCGGCTAATTTTTTCTATATATATATTTTTAGCTGTCCAATTAATTTCGTTCTGTTTTTGGTAGAGACGGGGTCTGGCTCTTGCCCAGGCTGGTCTCGAACTCCTGAGCTCAAACAATCCACCCGCCTCGGTCTCCCAGAGTGCTAGGATTACAGGCGTGAGCCGCCGCGCCCGGCCTTGATATACATTTAGAATGTTTCTTTTGGGGGGAAGAAAGCTCTGCTAACAGCAGCTATCCTGTGGTCATTGCCCATGATAATTGCTGGGTAGAATTATGACATACTCTTCAATGATATTTCAGATGATTTCTTTAAGGTTTTTCAATGTATTTTTCTTTAATAGTTAAGGTAACAGAGAGGCAGTTGTAGGCAATGCCCATATACAGACTATTTGGGGAATTTAAGCTGGACTTTAATATCTGTCTCAATAGCAGAATCACAGAATCACTGCTGTTGTGTTATATTTCACTTCTCACAGGAGTATAGATGAAGATAAAGTCAGAAGGTAGAAACACTTGCCAGAAAAAGAACCTGGAATGCATCATTTTAAGCAAACACATTCAGTAGTAGCTCATAAAAATATCTGAACATTATCAATTGGTGATATTCATTTGAGGAGTGAATGGAGGAGTTAACTAGTTTTTTTTTTTTTTCTGTCTTATGTTTTCTTTATTAATTCTTTTTTTATATTTCAGAATAATACTGGAGTATAAATGTTTTGGCTACAGGAATTGCTTTTGTACAGTTTGAGTCAAAGTTATAAGTGTTGCCATAGCTATTCGTAGTTATTTCTTCATACAGCCAAACTCAATAAATGACTCTTTGGATTAATTTGATGAGAATGTTTTCAAATAATTTGCAGGAAAGTTTTTGGTGAGAGAAATATTTTTAGTTTAGTAAATAGTTTTAAAAATATTAACCAGCCCTTAGGGCACATAAATGAATCACTATTAAAAATAAGAACAATGTGGATATGGCAGGAGTTTTAAATGAACTTTGTGGTATGATTAATATCACTCTACTTATGGGGTGGGGCATTTCAAAAAACAAAATCACAGTTTTGTTTATTAGTCAGTTTATTTTATACTTACTAGTGAATGTGTATAGTATGCAGATGTTGAACATGGTAGACGCACATAGCTGTAAGGCACTTGATATGTGGCTAGTAAGATTTGAAATGTGCTGTAAGTATAAAATACAAACTGGATTTTGAGAGTAAAATGTGACTACTATTTATTTAGGCAGTTTGCATTATATGCTGGAATAGAGATTTCTAGAACACATCTAATCACTTTTTACTGGCTTGCTTTTAAACAGATGCAGCCTCATTTCCACCTTTTGTTGAGAAGACCCGGGTATTGCAATTCTTTTCCTCTGACATTTGCAGGTAAGACAAAGACACTAAGGTATGTAGGTAACTCAGACCTCTTTCTTGCAAGTGCTAATTAGGGAAATTTCTTGATATCTTAAGAATAAATATAATATAGAATTCATAATGTTTACTTTTTTACAAACAATTCTTCTACATCCTTCAATCTTTTTATAATGCAAATCATTTTCTTTGCCATTTCTAAGCAAGAGCTACTTTGCCCTTCTTTTAATAAACTAGTAGTCTATTTAATAAGGACATGCCAAGTCTTTCTAAAGATGTCCAGAGAAGATGATGCCAATGGCGCAGAACTGTGTTAATTGACATGCTCTAATCAAATTGGCCGTGGTGGTGGCAGTAGATACCACAGATGTATGGCCACTATTCCTGAGCTCTAGCCCTATCCCTAAACACTGTAATTCTGGGCAAGCATTTAACTTCTCTAAATCTTTTCTTTATCTGAGAAATTGAAGAGATCAATATTTCTTCATATAGTGGTATCTGGGGATTAGAAGAAATGTATATTGAGCCCTAGCACATTGCCTAGGTTACGATAGATACCTGCTATATGATGGAGGTGAACAAGGTATATATCAAGCATGCACATACCCCAGCAAGCAAATGGATTTCCTCTCCAAGATTAAATCATTAAAGACAAATTTTATTTTTATTTCATTTAAACAGGGCAGAAAGGATTTGAGGAATGTCATAAATATTTAATCTGTAGCAGAAATTAACTATGAGAAGTGACTTCAGTGTAAATACTCCATAGTAGTTTATAAGCTTAGATGGTTTTGAGAACAAAGGTAGGAACAGTTCATACTCAGGTATGAGTTCTGGTATGTGTTTAAATTTCATAAGAACTTTTTTTCCTGAGAATTAAACAAGACTTAAAATTCTAAGTTAAAGCAAGAATATAAGAAAAATATGAACCTCTAGAATGTATTAATAGTTCAGAATCCTAGAATACAGCTTTTTTTTTTGTATGTGCGTGTCTAGGTCAATCTATGCTGTATTTGAATCCGACATTAATCTGAAAGGAATCCCTGTGTATAGATTCGTTCTTCCATCCAAGGCCTTTGCATCTCCAGTTCAAAACCCAGACAACCATTGCTTCTGCACAGAAGCAATTATCTCAAAAAATTGTACATCCTATGGTGTGCTAGACATCAGCAAATGCAAAGAAGGTGAGTAAATATTCACAGTAGCACAGTCCATGACATAATTTGCAATATTCCTTAAAATGGAACCTTTACTCAGAATGCAAAATTTAAAGAAAGAAAGCAATCAGGGCTGTGACAGAAAATGTGTTAATTTTGTATTGTTTCAGTGTTGCACAATTTAGTTATCATTGGGTAAAAGCACACCAGTACTTCCCTGTGCTGCTTTTAGATTTAGGGTAAAATGAAAATAATTTCTAGAACACTTTGAGCATCCCAAGTGATCCATTTGCTATTGCTCTAACCTTTTCCCCTACATAATAGTAAATATTTTCAGTATGTCTCTACAACAAGAATTGACTTAACACACAAAACTTGGACTCTGTCTTATGTTGCTCATATTCATCGTGTTGATGAAAATTCTTAAAGAAATTCTTAGTCCATATTTAGTTGCAACTTTCTATTCAGCAGCTAAACTTTACATATTGAAAATTGCCACCTAAGGAATGTAGAACAGATATCAACTAACTTAGTAGGATGCAGAGTTTTATTTTTGTAAAATAGTGATCTGATATTACACTTCTCTCCCATCCTTATCCCCAGTCAGTGTCCAAGACCAGCGATGTATATTTTTATGGAAAAAGCTTTATTTGCAATGTTTTCTGAGTGATTTGTAAAATAAGCAAAAAATTATTTATCCCCAGTTGACTCTTAAAACTTGTCTTCAGGAAAACCAGTGTATATTTCACTTCCCCATTTTCTACATGCAAGTCCTGATATTTCGGAACCTATTGAAGGCTTAAATCCAAATGAAGAAGAACATAGGACGTACTTGGATATTGAACCTGTAAGCAAATATTTTATCGATCTGCTTTGGTTGATATTGAAAGAAGAGAAAAATTTTGTCGGTTATACTTGTCAACCAAATTTATTGAATCACATTTATGTCAGTGAAAATGACATTTCTTCCTAATTAAATTTTAATTTTATATATGGAATTCCCTAAGCCTTTTTAATAAAAATAATTCTAATTGGCTTTAAATTTTATATGTTACTAGTCTATATTTAACTACAGATATTGCTTATATGAGGAGTCATCATATATGGGATTAAAAGATTTTATAGGAATTTGGGGCATGATCTGTTATACTTTGTTATAGCACAATAGTTTTATTCTTTAAATGATTTTAATGTTTTTGTTTTCAAAAGTTAAATGCAATTCTAGAATGTTTCAGTTTAATGATAGTTACAAGTGTTAGTTATAATAATAACCAATAATACATGGATTCTGACTGAATATGTATTTGATCGTATATAGTTCAAGAATTAAATTAACTACCCGATCTCTAAAACCATTTCAGGTAAATCACAAATATAACTAAAATCATAACATTAAGTTAGGCAAAGAAATTGTGTGTGTATGCACAAATATGTATGTAATATATTTAATAAGTGCAGTTAACTATTATAATTTTCAAGTAGTCCTTTTTTACTTTAAGTTCTATATTCTTTCTCTTCTGCTGTAACAATGTTTTAAAAAGAAGTTGGTAGTTATTTTAGTTGTTCTCTTTTTAGATAACTGGATTTACTTTACGGTTTGCCAAACGGCTTCAGGTCAACATGTTGGTCAAGCCAGCAAGAAAAATTGAGTGAGTCTCTTGAATAACGTTATCTTTATATGATTCATAGTATTTCCTGTTAGAACATAAGTTTATCAAATTTCAACTTTTCTTTAGCTTAAGATCACTAAACAATCATTATTAAATGCTTATGATAACTTTATAATATCTAGTGCTTATTGAAATAATATTTGCACATATTTAAAATGGGTTTTATGTGAGCATTTGATAGTATCTCTCATTTTGTTAGCTAAGTATTTCTGTAACTGTATTAGAAAGAGAAATGTGAGAAACAGACTAAAATTTAAATGATTCATAGCAGGGAACAAACTCAAAAAAGGCAATTCTGAACATTTATTTATACTAGTAATTATTAAAATGTTTATCTTCAATGTCTATTACAGAGCACTAAAGAGTCTTACGAGGAACTATATTGTGCCTATTTTGTGGCTTAATGAGGTTAGTACTTTAAAAAAAACTTTTAATATTTCAAAGGAATGTATAGTATTCAAAGTTGTATGTATTTCCATATGGATAAGTTTACACATTTTACCTATTTGAAAGGACCTAATCATATAGAAATATGACCTTGTTTTCAGTTTTCCTTTTTTAAAGCCCTTCCTATCATTTACGATTATCTTCAAAAAAACGTTTTTTCTTGTCATAATGCTTGTCTTAGGGAAGAGGCAACTGCAAGTAAATTAAGACTCAATATTATAGCGCTAATAAAAGCCAACTATGCATATAAAGGCTAGGCATAGGAAGTCTATCCCATTTCCTGACAAGATATTTTTTAGTGTAAACCACTGCATTGATTAACCACAGGAATAGAAGACATTGGGAAACATCGTTTGGATAATTGGGCAGTAGTTCAGAGCCAGTACAATAAAGAGTACTTGCTATACATCACTTTTAAAGGGAGAGGGATTATCTTTTACTCTGTAAATATTCCATGTGGCATTTATTGCCTGCTTTGATATGCATGAGGAATTCCACTGACTTGTCTTATAATACAACTGACAAAGGCCCATACAGGTGTTAAAAGTAATGTATATAATTGGAGGGTTGGAGTGTTAATCTTCCTCTGCCCAAATAATGGCAATGGTTAATTTGCTTACAGACTGGGACCATTGGTGATGAGAAGGCCGAAACGTTCAGAAAGCAAGTGACTGGAAAAATAAACCTCCTTGGCCTTGTAGAAATCATCTTACTCAGTGTTGGTGTGGTGATGTTTGTTGCTTTTATGATTTCATATTGTGCATGCAGATCAAAAAAAGTGAAATAGGTAAGTAAACACAAAAAATATATACATTGCTCAAATAATGCAATTGCTTATATATGACTTGTTTTCATTTTATCAAAGAGTTTTATGTTATGCCATAAATATTTCTGGACTTTTGAATGAGTAAATAAGACCTATGAATGTCAAGCAGATCACTAAATTGCATCTTTTATTTCCATTCTCCCCCAGAATTAAAGATTTAATTGTGATCATTGTAAAGTTACCACAAATAACTTCTGTCAAAAATTTTAACTTGTTCATTTCCCAATTATATAGCTGTTATATGTATTTCAAAATCAGATAATAACCCCTTGACTGGGAAAGGTTGTATAACTATAATAGATATTTAAAGATATTGAAAAGTGAAAACAGGATTGTTGCATGTGGACATGCTGGCCCTATGTTCTCCAAATCCAGGGTGTGTGTACCTTAGATGTTTAATGTGAAGACCTGATGAACAATTGAAAGACTGTACCCCAAATTTGAATATAACAGTACAAGGAAAAGGGGAAATGGTGTTCAACACAAGTGAAATTACTCAGAGTTTAGCAGAAAACACAAACATAGACAAGATTTTCGTAAAAGGGGTTCGGGTCCCTGTGATTCGGTTATTAGTGCCCTTGCTCCCCTGTACATAAACAGGAATGAATACCTGACCTTCTGAAGGCCTTTCTTTAGATATCATGGATGGCATTGGTCAGGCAGAGTTTTTCACTTTCTCCAATACGCCCTTTCCAGACTCCTGAAAAAAAAAATACACAAAAGCAGTATACTTGCTACAAGTTCACTACAGCTCTTTTCTATACTTCCAGACTAGTGATGTTAAGCTGTTTTGTGTAGAAATTCAAGAGCTGCTGCTGATACTAGTATTTATTGAGCTTTTGCTATGTGCCAGTATCATGCATTATTTTATTCCTAATACAGTGTCTTGAGTTTCATCATCATCCACTCTATCTTCTGGAGACATTCCATGAAATCATAAATTTTAACAGAAGCAAAATTGTCTATGACCAAAGTATAAATTAGTTAAATTGATGATTTAAAAAGGAATTTGGGGATAAAAAGTTCCTTTGTTAGTTTATGTCTGGGGAGGCAAACCAATTTTCTGTTCTGATTATTTCTGCCACTATTTGTTTTTCTGAAAAGACTGTCCAAATAAATTGTAGGTAGAAGTATTCAAAATGTTTTCAAAATACTAACCTAATATATTCACATTACAATAAATAAAGGAAATATTTCACTACCTTTAATGCCTGCCGAATAACAACTTATGATTACTTACAAGACCATTTATATAATCAAGAAAAAGTACAAAAAGTGTTCTAGTGGTAAAACTATAAGTATTATGTATTAAAAGTTACATGACAAATTTCACTACTGCTTAATGATCCCTGGCTGTCAGATTCCTTAGGTCTTATATGTAGCTAAATTAAGAAGAGTGTCTTTGTCAACAATGTTTTGCTTACACATTTATAAGGAAAAATTACTGCTTTTTTTTTTTAAAGTAGAGAAGAAAACTTTTCTTGGTTTACATCTTTGGGCAGATATGTGAAACAAGTTATGAGGCGGTGGAGCTAATGTGTGGATTTACTCCATGCATCACAAGTCACAAGGAAACTAAGCCAATGGTCCTTTTGAAAGTAGAAGATATACCTTTAAGAGGAAGGTGGTCTGAAGGATGTGGAAGTGCTGGTCCAGAGCAGATTTAATTAGCTACCATTCCTTGTGTGGTATGTGCTGCTCATGAGAGTGGGGAAGCAGCCCCATGTGTGGTTTTGGAATGGGAATATGCATTGCATTATTGGTGAAGTCTGAGAACTTCCCTCTGCAGCTTGAGAAACTGGGCTGAATAATAAGTATATCTTGGGTAGATATGATTTCAGTATCATCTATTGTTCCATAGCTTTCTGACAAGTAATAATATGTCTTCTACTTTACAGGCAGCAAATGAGTCTTTATACGTATGCACCAGCTATGTCGGGACCTTTGGTGGTGTCAATCCACAAAATGAAGATTTAATGTGCTTCAATTTTACAAACCACACCTTCCCTTTTAGTTGAAGAAATGGTGGCACTATTTTTTCTCTAAGCAGCACATTTCAAAAGGATTAGCAAGAGATCATTGAAATTTATACTTTGACTAAAACCCAGAAACTTTTAAAATGCATCATTTCCACAATTGAATTGATTTTGGTTTCTACAGACTCGCTCAAACATGAACCAATTTTTTTGTTCCAAGTCACTAATCGGTTCTGTGATGGCAAATCCAGCAGAGGAGTAGATGTTCTAAACAAATCCTGAGTTCCCCACCCCTGTCTTCCTCAGCAGGGCGAAAGTGTCATCACCTTAGTAGTATCCCTGTTCAGTTGGAACAGCCAGGACTGTCCGTACATTGCGCTTCATGAGCAGCAAATATTTTGAAGGACAATTTAAGAATGATTGGCTTTTAACCATTTATTATATCTTTCTTCTTTCTCTATGGAATACTTTTTACAGCAGGCATAACCATTTTCTTATTTTATAAAAATATGGGCTTATATTTTGTCATTGATCATGCAAATAGACATCATTTTTATCCTTTAAAGACTGTCATTTTCCACGTTCTGCAGCTCTTCTGGAAATCTGAGTAGATTTTGATGTTTCTACTCAGTTGCAATTTATGCTTGGCAACCTCAGAATGCTGTTCTAGCATTAAGAGATGTAAATGATAATAAAGGAATTATTGTGTGAAACATTACAAAGAGTAATAGTTGTTGCTCTCATAGTCACCTCAGAAAGACTGGTTTCAACCTACATTTTTGGCACCAGGGACAGTTTTCATGGAAGACAATTTTTCCACGGATGGGGGAGGAGGCGTGGCTTCCAGATGATTCAATAGCATTACATTTATTGTGCACTTTGTATCATTATTACATTGTAATATATAATGAAATAATTGTACAACTCTTTCTTAAATTCTTGTGCTTTATCTAGTTCCTACTCTGCCACAAAATGCTCTAATTTTATGAAGTATTTCATTGAATTCTTATTTCTTTAAAATCCATTGTTCTTTTTGAAATATTCTTTCCAAATTCAATTTTGACCCCATTAGTCTAGGCAAATTTTTTAAGCTGATTGATTGGAGGAAGAGCAAAAAAGAGTTAGGTATGATCCTTTACAGCAGCAAAACATGAGTTCAAGACTGAAGGGGACACATTAATGGATAATCCTGCTTGCTTTTGTAGGGTTTACTCATTGTAGCGAGCACTCTAGTCCTCCTAAGTCTTAGGAATAGAAAAGAAAAACAAACTACATTTTGTCTTGTGTGTTATACACAGAAGAATACAAAGTAGTAGTAACTGGCCTGTTTGGATACAAAAAATAACTTGGCCTCCTCCTGGTAGATACCCAGGTAACTTGAAAATTCCCATTGAAAATCATAAACCAAGATACTGCCTGGTGGGAGGGATCCTTTGAATCTCTGAAGATACTTGGAACATACTGATTAATGCCTTTCCTTTCAACTGGGAAGCAAAAAAGTATCCCTCTAAGATATTGGCATTTAAGATGATAAGACTCCAATCTTCTGCATGTGGCTATCCAATTTTCCCAGCACCACTTACTGAATAAGGATTCTTTTCCCCAGTGTATGTTTTTGTCTGTTTTGTCAAAGATTAGATGGCTACATGAGGATGGTTTTATATCTGGGTTCTCAGTTCTGTTCCATTGGTCTATGTCTCTGTTCTTGTGCTAAGACCATGGTATTTTAGTTACTATAACCTTGTAGTATAGCTTGAAGTCTGGTAGATTGATGCCTCTCAATTTGTTCTTTTTGCTTGAAACTGCACCTTTCACCTCTCATAAAAATCAACCCACATTGGATAACAGAATTAAACCTAAGGCATGAAACTAAAAGAATTCTAGAATGAAATGTTGGAAAAATTCTTATAGACATGGGCCTACGCAAAGAATTTATGAAGACGACCCCAAAGGCAATCACAGCAACAATAAAAATAAATAAATGGGACCTGATCAAATTAAAAAGCTTCTATATAGCCAAGGAAACTATCACGAGAGCAAACAGACAACCTACAGAATGGGAGAAAATATTTGCATATTACACATCCAATAAAGTGCTGATAACTAGAATCTATATAGAACTCAGGAAAATCAACAAGAAAAAAAATCAACCCTGTCAAAAAGTGGGCAAAGTAAATGAACAGAAATTTTTCAAAAGTAGACAGACTAATGGCCAACAAACATATGAAAAAATACTCAACATCTCTAATCATCAGGGAAATGCAAATCAAAACCACAAGATATCATTTATCTCCAATGAGAATGGCCTTTATCAAAAAGTCCCAAAACAATAAATGTTGGTGTGGATGCAGAGAGATGGGAACACTCATACACTGCTGGTGGGACTGCAAACTAATACAACCTCTGTGGAAAATAATAGGGAGATACCTTGAAGAGCTACAAGTAGAACTACCATTTGATCCAGCAATCCCATTACTGGGCATCTACCCAAAAGAACAAAAGACATTCTATAAAAAAGATACCTGCACTCGAATGTTCATAGCAACACAAGTCACAATTGCAAAGATGTGGAAACAACCCAAATGCCTGTCAATACATGAGTGGATTAAGAAAATGTGCTATACGTATACCATGGAGTTCTACTCAGCCACAAAAATACAATGGTGATACAGCACCTCTTGTATTCTCCTGGACAGAGCTGGAACCCATTCTACTAAGTGAAGTATCACAAGAATGGAACATCAAGCACCACATGTACTCACCATCAAATTAGTATTAACTGATCAACACTTAAGTGCACATATAGTAATAACATGTAGTGTTTGGCACATGGGGGGGGGAGGAGTGGGTGGGTATATACATGCCTAATGGGTGCTGTGTGCACCGTCTGGGGGATGGACATGCTTGAAGCTCTGACTCGGATGGGGCAAGGGCAATATATGTAACTTAAACATTTGTACGCCTATAATATGCTGAAATAAAAAAAATTAAAAAAAAGACTCC